CCATATTTCTATACATAACGATAACAAAAATGGCTATTTTACAGTGCAACTAAATGGTTCTACAATAAATCCTACATGTCTATATTTACAAGCACCACTCATTCAGTCTTATTTCACTCCTGTTCACCCTAAGGGTTCTATTAGCAAGGACCTGGGCTACCCTTGCCTTCTGCAGTGGGTTCTAACACAAGTGTTGAGATGTCTGCTGCAAGATTTTTCTCCTCAAAATGCACTTAAATACCAGACCTTTCTAAAATGAGTTAATCTAAAGTACTTAGACTCCAAAAAGCCAAAACATCAAATATAAATGAATTCAGAAAACTCGTAGGCATGATCTGTGAAGAGATGTCCTAAATGATAAAAGAGATCTGGGGGCTGATAAAAGGAGTCATAGTCCAAATAAGAAACTATCCTGCTGCAAGAGAAATGAAGGGAGTGTAAGTAGAGATCAGTAAAGTGGATTAAGAGCTCTGCAACAGCCTGAAGCATGAAAAGAAAAAATATGAAACATGGGATGGGTGCTGAAGCATTGCAGACTACATGTGAGCTGCCAGGGGACTTAAAGAGAACATGGCAACATCACCTAACTGGTAATGAAGAAAAATCTGGAGAATTAGAGACCTGATATCTCCCTGTGAAAACCTAAAGGAGCAAGTTACTGACCAGTTATTCTCTAATCCTCTAAAGATTTAGAAATTTGTAAATAAATGGCAGGAATGGGTTTGTTGAGGTTTCACTAAGGACAAATCGTTTCAAACTAATTTGATTCCATTCTTTGACAGGATAACTCGCCTAGTGGCTAGGGGGGAACAGCACTAGATGTGATATGTCTTGACTTTGGAGAGGCTTCTGGCACTGTCCCAGAAGACATTCTCGTAAGCAAACCAAGGAGCTGCAGCCTATTTAGATTCACAATATGTTGAGTTCAGTGTCAAAGTCAGAGAGTTTTCTGGGGGAATCTTCCCAGTGGTGGTCCAGAGTCCAGATCTATTCGATATTTTCAGTAGTAACTTCTGGAAATTGCTTTGCTATAAATTGTCCTGGTGATATCCAGTGTTAGGTGAGGTACTGGGGTGGGGGGCCTCTGGGAGGTGTCTGTCAGCACCTATGGAGGGTAGGATGTGAATGGTTGATAATTTGAAGAAACACTCCCAGTCAAGAGGATGTGTTTCAGCAGAGGCATGGGATGACCTGCCATGAGCAGCTGTGAGAACGTGCAAACACAAAGTGAGACCCACTGGGCAGCAATCCTGCAGAAGTGGCTTCTCAGAAGCTGGAAAGAGAGAAAGTGGAGAACCTGAAGGACTGTGCCACATACAAAATTCTCTTTCCATTAAGGATAACAATGAGCTGTTTTCGGTGTCCTTGTCAATCAAACAAGAAGAAAAAAAAATAGTGATTCCAATAGAAACCCTGCATTTGGCTTTGCTTTTAGTTTTTGCCCAAGATGCTCCATAAGAAGAGGAGGCAGTCAAATCTCTTTTGGTAGCTTTAAGAGCTTATTTGGACACCCCTTGTGTTAACAGAGACACAGTGCTCTGTACAATATGAACATCCTTAGTGCCAAGGATGTGCCGTGGGGACTTTCTGAGAATACCTTTGAAGCTTTTGTGTTGAGATGTTATTCCCCCTACAGCTTTTGCAGGCACACAGGTTGTACTCATAATTCCCACGGAACGGGACCAGTGTTTCTGTAATGGAAGCTTATTTTCTTCAACATCACAGGCATCTTCCTGGGAAGGTATCCTAACTTCACAACTTACACCCTAAAAAAACTAATCTTTGAAGGATTTATTTCTTTAATTCACCTAAATTTCACACGTTTCAAAATATTTCCTAGGCCTGTGAAGTTTTTTATTTTAATTTATTCTTAAAACTGGGCTGATTTCTGAGTGCATGCCCAGCAATGAGTACTTGGTGGGTAATGATTATTCTTTTTGTGGGTGCCCTCTGTGGCAGCAGTGATGGGGAGGCAGCCAGAGGTACCACTGGCCCCACACCATGTATGGCCCTTGGACTACATCCCCATACCATGGTAGGCCCCAGGGACACAGCTGCTCCTTTTCCCTCCTGATGTCAGGATGTGTTATTTCCTCTCAACCACAGCAGTGATGCAGGGGAGGAGGCAGAAAGGGAAGATGTGCAGCCCAAAGCAAGAAGGCTGCTGGGAGGGGCCAGCAGCTGTTATTGCAGGCTGCCATGGGAAGCTGATGGGAGAAACAAAGGGGGAAGATCAGCAGCAACAAAAACAGCAGCAAAGCCTCCTCTCTGCCAGCTAGACAGGGGAAGAAGGGTCCTCCCAGCTGTACCAAACCTGAGGACTGGGATGGTGGGGTGGGGGAGCAAACCAGCCAGAGCCACTGCAACTAAGTCCAGGCAGGTGCCCCAAGGCAAACAGAAGCGAGCAGATAGCTAGACCCGAAATGAAACAATAGCTTCGAAAGAAAAAAATCCCCAAAGGCACCAAACCTATTGCGGTTTTTTTTTAGCTTGCATATTTTTTAATGTAGTAAAAAAAAAAATAAAAGGAACATGCCACAGATGTCAGCCTGGTGCAGATCACCCTTCTGCATGGAGGGCACCAGGGGCCCCATACAGTTCCTTCATGGCAGCCAGTCCTACCCCCACACCCCTTCCCTGCAGTCAGCTGGAGAAGGAAGTGGATAAGAAGCACACGGTGGATACAGCACAAGCACAGAAGAGCACAGCAGCGCCCCAGGCTGGGCTTTAGCCAGGGATGGCTATGCTGGCACAGGTAAAGTAAAAGCTCAACAGACTCTATGTTACAATTAAAAACAGCAACAATAACAATCTCCCCTTGAGAGCTGCACTTTAAACCCCCACAAAAAACATTTGGGAACTCTTGTGATTTTTCTTTTAGTGCCACACCTACGAGTTCTGGCTGCGTGGCAGTGGCAGCAGCTGCTCTTGGTGGCTGCTGGCACCACTGTAGCCAGAAGGACCAGCGAGCTCAGTGGGAACCTGGCCTTGGGGTCTCTTGCCCACCTTTTTCAGGCTCTTCCCCAAAGGCATGGCAAAGGGAGGGTAAGGAGGCAGGATGTTGGATGCTTGTGAGATTCAAACCCAGTGGCTTTCACTCGTGGGCTCCCACCAACAAAGCTCTGTCTGCTCATCTGAGAAGGACCCCTCTTCTCTACCTCATGTATACACATTTATATATAGATATCTGATAAACATTCAGTATGAAAATAAATACTTCATCTGTGTTTTAAGTACCATTGTTGCCTCCATCTAGTAACCTGCTATAATGTCAGATCTCTTTTTGTCCATGACAATCTCGTTCCCATTGCTTTTTCCCTAACCCATAGGCCCCTCTTCCCTGCTTCCCAGGGCAGCCAAAAGCACTGGAGCAGGCAGAACTGTACCTTTTAGAAGCCTCTCTCTTACTTGCTGCCTCCCAAAGTTTGGCTTATTTTAGGGAACTTGATGAAAATGGTTCCCTTTTACAGCACCTTTCATGATAGAAGAAATGATCTTCTTCTAAAACACACTTTACAAAGAGTAGGATTTTAACATTCTCTTCCAGGGCTCTCAGTTAAGAAATATGTTTCTAGATAGCACTGTTTATATAGATATAGGTATAGTTTTTATTTATTTTATTATCAACCCAACATTTCAATTTGCAGCTGTTGATGTAACTCATGACATACTCTCATGGTGGCGGGTTTTTTTCTTCTTTATCCTTAAAAAGAAATGCATTTCAAATTAAAATGATGCTTTTTTTTTGTCTGTCTGGTGTTCCTAAAAGGTATTTGAGATGATGTAGGAGTCCTGACGTGGGTGGCAGTTTTTAAGCCCGTACCTGTCAGTGGCCTGGAGACCATGAGGTGTGGGTGCTGTGAAAAATTGGGTAGCAACAGAATGGAAGGGCAGCCACGCCACAGCTCTGGGTGGGATGGTGCTGGGAACATATGGGCACGCTATCCAGGTTTTCCTGAATTCATTTCCACCTCTGAGCAGGAGGACCACGCAGCAAACCTGCCACCACCACCATCCCAAGGAGCCAGTGCCACTTTCCTTGTCCCCCTTGCTCCCCCCAGGGCAGGATGTTCTTTAATAGTTGTAAATTAACATCATGTTTTTCTCCCTGCAGAACCACAAGCTCAAAGTTAATTATACAAAGAGAAATGCCATAGTCAAAATATACATGACACGTATTGTATTAGAGGGTTGGGGGCTTTTTTCCTTCTTTTTTTTTTCTTAGCCCAGGCAGGTGATTGAGATGCTACATGCTCTAGCTTTTGTCACTAAATGTGTGTGACTGTGTGTCTGTGTTCGTATTAAAAATATATCAGTCTTGTGATGTTCTTAAAAAAGAAAGAAATGGAAGGCGGCAGGGGAGGGTAATAGTGAAAAGGTTTTTTGACTGTGTCACAGTCTTTTGTGGCTTCAGAAATACACATGTTCAATTCCAGCACTGACGGCAGCTTGAAGCTTTGAGTTTAAATTTTTAACATTTTTTGGATTAAGTAGTAAAAAAGAAAAAAAAAAAATCAGCGTGCTCCCCCAGAACCAAAAAGCAACAAGCAAACAGAAAAAAAAGAAAAAACCCCCACAAATTCCTGAACCAGACTTCTGCAATTCTCAACCAGTAAAAATAAGGAAATATCTCCTTACAGTGGTGGGGTGCTCGGCAGGAAAGGAGATGACCCCCTATGGGAGAGGTGGCCTTTGGAGATGGTTGAAACTTCGTAATTTCATTGAATAGGGTCAGTGCCTGGGTTTATTGTGTTTTATTTCAACACTTGCCATTGTTGCTTTCTTTTGTACCATTTTTGGATGGGTTTTGTCTCTTTGTTTTTTCACTCTGTGATGGTTTTGCCCTCCGTGGCACGCAGCTGTCTGGGCAGTGGCAGCCCCCGACAGACAGACAGACAGACAGACAGCCGCAGCCTCCAGTGAATCCGCGCTCCCAGGACTGGTGTCCGGTGAGGTAGCGGAGGAGGGTCCCTCCCCCGGCAGCACCGTCCCTCCACCGCCTAAAACCCCTTGATGTAGCAATAGGCCTCCAGGGTGGCGAACAGGATGTAGAGCAGCCAGAGGCTGACAAAGAGCAACGTCGTGGCCACTTTGCACCCTCGGGGGCCGCCCAGCTCCCCCCCAAGGTGGGGCCGCCGGCGGTAGAGGAGGACGCTGATGCAGATGAAGGCGAAGATGGTGAAGAGGGTGACGGAGAAGGCCAGCGTGCCTGCTGACACCTGGAACTCCTGCCCCTGTGATGCCCAGTAGATCGCTGCCACTGACCACGCCAGCCCGATGCCCAGGAAGACGTTGACAGCGTTGCTGCCTGTGACGTTGGTGATGGAGGCGTCGGCGTACATGTCCTGGATGGCTGCGGCCTTGCTGGCAAAAGTGTCTGCGGTAGAGGGAGGAAGGAAGGAGAAATCACTGGGGGTCCAACAGGAGAAACAGATAACCCTTCACGTCTGGGAGACAAGGGAGGCTCAGGTGTGGTACAACACAGACCAAGAGGTACCCAATCCCCTCCTAGGCTCAGAGATCCATGTTGCACAAAGCAGGGTGCAGACCTGGCCTGGGGACAGGGCTTGGAGGATACCCTTCCCAGCCTGAACCCCATCCCATGACAGAGCTTCTCCCCTGAAATCAGGAGCATCTCCAGAGGACTTACCTCCCATCCCATCCCCTCCCCTCCCCACGGCCACCCCACCTGGTACAGAAGTGCCAAAGGCGACGAAGACGACGGCGGTGACCGAGTCCTTGAGGCCGATGGTGCAGCCGAAGTGGGAGGCGAGGTCGCCGATGACGGCCGTGAGCATGCCGATGATGAGGATGGAGACGACGAAGCAGGCCCAGCCATTGCAGTACTCGGTGGGGGGCACGCAGGCAAACAGCACCTTCCAGAAGACTGTCAGGAAGTGCATCACGTAGTCAAAGCAGGATGGCAGGCGCTCCTCACCAGACTCATCCTCGTCCTCATCGCCTGCTGCAAACAACACGGAAGGAGAGGTCCAGCATTCATTCCTTTGGGGCAGCTCATGCTTGTCTCCTCCACCCCAAGGCTCCAGGGATTCTGCTCTACTGGGACAAGGTGGTGGGGTGCTGTCCATGACAGTGAATTCAAGGCACACCAGGTCCTTCAGTGATGGGTGAGGCTTGGCAGAAAGAATGTCTCCCACCCATCCCGGAGCCCTGAGGGATGGGGAGTGATGTAGCGGGGTGTTGTACCCACAGAGGGGCAGCCCTGTCCCCATCCACAGGCAGTCACACAGGAGGTAGTCAACCTGTGGAGATCACTGTGGAGTGGCATGAAGAAATTACACAGGCAAGTGATGTTTTGGGCCAAAACTAGCGGAAAGTAATAGAATTGGGAAACAGGAGAGATCTAATGATCCTCCTGCTCCAGAGCATGGGCTGGGCCATCCACTGCCTCCTCTACTCTTTTGGGGCAGATACCAAACCAACCATCAAGGAAAGGTTCAGAAAGATGCCCAACAGTCATTAATGGTATAGATATGCCTAAAATACCTTTCCTACAGCTGCCTGGCTCTGAAAGCAGTGAGTTCTTTGATCAGGCAACAGCTGGCAAGTATCTGGGCTTTTTCCTTCACCAGCTGCTGCCTCATGAGGCAACATCTCCAATCTTCCTGGGTTAACTCTCCCTACTCCCAGGAACTCTACTGGCTATGACAGGACATCGCTGAGTAGGAGCTACCTGCACTGGCCAGGATCCCAGCCAGGATGGGATTTTGCTGCCTGGACATTTCCCATCAGATCACTGAAGCAGCAGGAGCACTGCCAGCTGATGCAGCCTTTGAAAACTGGCCTTCTGGAGGGCTCTGCACCACAAGATGGATCTCCTGGGCTCCTATTAATGTACCTGCAAAAGCCCACTATATTTGGAGCAGAGGAGCTCTTTGGACTGGCTTTGCTGATAGGTCACCACAGCTGAGCATCACTGAACAGGAGATGCTGTCATTCCAGGCTGCATGAATCCTGTGTATGTTCATATGGATTTTCTGATGTCCCCTCACCTGCGCTCACAGTAATGGCCTCCATGAACTGGTCCCTCCAGGAATGTGTCCCAACAACCAAAGCCAGGTTTGTCTTCCTAATCAGCTTGTCCACGGTGCTCTGTTGTGGGAATAAAGATGCACAGCAATTAACCAGCTGCTAGTGAGCAAGGATAATCTTGCACTGTGGTCTCACAGACCCTTTCCAAACTGTGGAAGTGTTACAAGCACTCTCCTATCAGCTAGATTAGGCCAGGTTGACTAGGGTTGAGCCCACCTTCTCCCTGGACTGGCTGATCCAAACCTCACCAGAGCCACACCTGGTGTGCCACACCTCAATCCAGGTAAGGTTCCTTCTTCCCTCAACCCTGCCTCACCAGAAACAGCTTTGCTTCTGCATCCTCCTGCCCACTGACTTCTGCTTCCAGCAGGGCCTTCTTGCCTTTCTCCCTCCATTCCCACCAACCAGAAGCTGCTGCTTTTGACATTTCTTGTAGACTTCGTCCACCCATTACTGCATTACATACTTCCTTTCTTTTCCCAACAGCCTTTTCCCTGCATGCTGGCCCCTCAGTCCTGCTCTCCAAGGCCCGACAGTGCCACATGGCTTTCCCCTCCTGGACGACCCCTAAGACACCTACTGACCTTGAACTCATAGGACTCCTCAATGATGACTTCCAGTTTGGGGTGCTCGCCAAGTATTGGTTTGCCCATCTCTGCAATTCTCTTGGCTTCTTCCTCTTCTACTGTCATCTTCCTCTCAGCCACCTCTGTGAAAGAAAGGCCAACACCAAGCTGTGGGCAGCAGCCCTGGACCTCCAGGGCACCATGGGGGCTTGTCTGCAGGGCCTGAGCATGGGCTTCTGCAGCCCCCTCACAGCTTGCTAAGTTCACACAGCAGGTTGGGGGGCAGTGGGGTGTTGGACCACAAAAACAAAGGACCAAGATTTCTGAATATCAGTCACCAAGAACATAGGCAACATGTTTTTAATTTATTAACAAAAAACCCTTGAATGTTTCTTCAGTCTGCATTGGTGCTCTCAGTTGAAACACACTCTCCCATCACCCCTGCAGCAGCCAGAGTTCTGGGGAGATCGAGGTACCAAATCATTCTGCCATTTGGTAGAAATGCCTTTTAAGGCACTTCTAACACCCTGATGTGCTCCCTGATTTGAATGAACAAGATATAGAGCCTTTTTTCCCACTTTGAGTAGAAAATCATGATTGGCTCTTTGTGCCACTCAGTGTTTGATCTAACACTCAGACACACACAGTCACAACCACATGTAAACCACACATGAATTGGAAAAACAAACAAGAAGTAAGACATGAAACAAGTAGTTTTTTCCTTTCATAATACTGTGAGGGTGCTAAGGAACTGGAACAGGTTTTCCAGAGAAGATGCAAATGCCCTGTCCCAGGAAGTTCAAGACCAGGTTGGATGTGGTGTTTGAGCAACCTAGAGAAAGGTGTCCCATGGGAGTGGGGTTGAAACCAGATGATCTTTAAGATTCCTTTTAACATATTCCATTGTGTAATTCTATATTTAGTTTCCCCTGAAGGCAACTAAACCAGGACCTGGGTCAGCAGCATGCTGAGATGACTCTTGTCAGGCTCAGTCTTGGTGAAGACCCAGCTAGCCCAGCAAAGTGCCTCAAGAGGGTTCTGGTTGCCCAGATGGAAAGGAGCATCCCAAGGCCCAGCTGAGACTGAGAGTGGGAGCTGGAGCTCTTTAGAACCGGGGAGGACATATCACAAAGGCAGAGAATCTTGTTCTGGCTAAGCAGTGAGTCAGATGTTACCTGAGGTTTCCTGCAGAGGTTACAAATGCCTAGGTAATGCCTCAGATGTGATTAATCCCATGTGGACTTCAGCAGATCTCATACTTCACATTAAAACTCACATAGAAATTATGCAATGCCAGTGAAATCTATTTAAAAACTCTGACTTCTCTCTTCATCTGCCTGGCTAGATTGACTGCAAAGACCATAAGCCTTGCAAGACCTTCAGAGTTTATAAAACATAACTCCTGTGGCAGGTGACCTTATTATAACCCTTCACAGAAACAGAGAAGTTGCATCCATCATTTGAAATCAATGACGTACATCAAAACCATCGCTGCCTAGCTCCAAGACAGCGTCATCTGGATTTAGGAACCCCCATAAGTTTAAAAAAAAATTACAGACAGAGGAGCACAGCATCTGGAGAAGAAGGGCAATGCAGGATGCTGGGGGATGCAGGAAGCCCATTTTTTCACTGAAAGAGTATTTAAGAATTGGAATGGGCTGCTCAGGAAGGTGGTGGAGTCACCATCCCTGGAAGAGATCAAGAAATAACTGGATGTAACACTTCGTACTATGGTTGAGTTGACATGTGTTTGGTCAAAGGTTAGACTCAACGATCTTGAGTTTTTTCAACCTTAATGATTCTATGATTCCATGATTCTATGAAAATGTTCTGCTTTACACTACACTTGGAGGCATGAACTGATGATTATCAAGAACAAGATTCAGAGTACTTACATTCACTGGAACAAGGATTCAGATATAATGTACACCTGTTTTTCTAAGACACAGAATGAGAAAGTCCAGTCTCCTCCTCTATTTGGGAGTGTGTGAAGATGACAAGCTGTGTCCATCAATGAAAATGCAGGTGCTCACACATCAGTTGTTGCCATAGCACCTATGACATGACTTTGCTTCTATCTGAGCTCCCCATAACCTGAAGGTCAGGGGTGAAGGCACCCTCAGCTCTGCAAAGCCTAGCTTGGTGGATGAGCTGAGTGCATGCTGACATATGCTGACAATACAGAACTGAGCAATAGCACTACAGCCATCCCAGCAGGGTTGCAAAGCCCAGACTTGGTGACAGTCTGACTCTCTACAACCTTTCCTGGAATAACTACATCTGAAAAGCTGTGGTCACAGTCGGCAGCACAGTCTCCTAGGTTCCTGCACACTGGCTGCAGCTGCAGAGTGCAGAAAGCAAATGTCTGGAATCTGAGGAGATACTCTGAAAATAGGGAATATCAGGCAGAATTTCCTCACTTAACAACTCGAGGAGAAATGATGCAATGAAACCTCAGTCCCCAGTCTAACTGATCTGACAAAAGCCTTTGGCATGTTAAGAGACCATAGAGCCTCACACAAATGTTATGCCCCTAGCCAGGCTGGACTGCAGGCAGGTCTGTAGGCAGTGCAGCAAGCTTTCTGATCTCCATAGGAAGTGGTATCCAACACAGCTTTATCCCAGAACCTGCCATCTTGCTAATGCTAGTTTATGTACTTGCACCAGGCAGGACAGGGCAAGAAACAAATCCCTCCCAGAGGAGGAAGATCTCCTGCATCTCTTCTCAGTGTGTGCCACATCCAGGGCTGTTGGGCAGGCTGCATGGGAATGCCTGTGTTCACAGGACCTCGCACCTTGGAGCATGTGGCTTTGTTTCTCTGCAAGCCACCTATGGATCACCTACTGATTCAACATGCAAGGCAATCACTCACCAGACAGCTCTTCGAGTAAATCAAGAAACACAACCATGTCCAAGAGTGTTTGTCCAGCCTAGGAGCTGAATGCTAGCATGAGCATGGGACTGGACACCCCACAAAGTGAAGGTGGCAGGACTCCTGCTATTCCAGAAGGCACCTTGCCAGCAGACTAAGTGCCACCAGAGGTACCTTCAAGCCCTAGGTAGGCCACTTGGAGTGAAGAGACAAGCTGACTAGCATGGAGACCTCCAGCCTACTGACAGCACATCCACAGAGACGTGAATAATGGAGGCCCTGATGTCACCTCCTCTGCCATGTGTACGGTGAACTGGGGTGCAGACAGAAGAACACAGCCACCCAAGGAGGCCCATCAAGGGCATCCTGTGGGAACAGATGATTGAACATGACTGCCAAGCTAAGTCTTTCAATGTCAGCTGCAAGCAAACCACAGGAGAACAGCCACAGGGAGCACATCCAAATGGGTACCTCATAGAAATGTTAATAGTGGAAGCTTTTGGATAAGGGAGAAAGGAGGTAATTCCTTAATGTCTCATTAAAATGCAGTCATTTGTGAATGTGCAACAGGAAAGCAAAGCACAGAAACCTAACAAATTTCAAAGGTGCCTCTGAAAACATTTAAGCTGCCATTGTATTTTCACTGAGGCTCCATCCTAATGTAGGAGAAAAACACAAGACTCCCATGTCAGTACTGTGCTGGATCTTGCTCAATGCACTCACACAAGTGACCCATAGGTGCTAAAGACCAGGCTGCTGACTGTCCTCTGAAATTAAGGCAGTGGCAGAAAGGACAAATTTAGGAGCCCAGCTGATATTTTTTCCCAAACCTATACTTGCAATACAGTTAAGGCAGGGAGATAAGCACCTTCAAAGAGTGATATGAAGCACCTACATGATTCCACCAATTCTGCCCACCTACTGCTTAGGACATGTGAGCATCTTGTGGCAGGAATCAGTGTGAACCTCTGCAAAACACCAGATCCCATCCTAAGCCTGCTCCAGGCCTGTTGGGTCTGCCTGTTTCTATGAGATGCTGAGGGCTGAGTTGAGCTTGTGTGTAATGACCCAACATCTGAGAAGGAATAAACAACTCAGTGGCAGAGAACAATCCCAATGCTCCTGCATTTCAAGGAAGCATTTCAGACAGCACAGGGTTCATCAGCCTGCCTATAGGGCTGCAGGAGGTTGCTATCCCTGCAGCAAGCATGGAACATGCTCCCACACTGGCTGGTGTAGGGCTGGGGTCTTGGAGGACTCCTCTAGGAAGCAGAGACAGGATGTGTGGGGTGTCTCACACATCACTCCAGTGTGGTAGCCTGCAAAGAAGACTACCAAGGGCTGAGATAAATAAAATACAAAGTAAGGGGGAGTGAGGATGGGGGAGGTTTGTGTGTTGGGAGACAGATTTTAATCTGGAAGGTCAAGTCTGTCAAGGTGACTGCTGCCAAGCTCCAGCTTAATTATTAACTAGCCTGATTTCTGTTTATATCTGCATCAGTACCTAGTTTTCAATGCGGATTGCACCCTGGACTCCCTGCTGTCAACTCCAATTAAGCCTGATAAGGTCTGGCCGTGCCTATTGAGAACAGAGCTTGCCAGGACCTTCTGGGCTGCCTCTACCTCCTCCCTAGGAAGGAGAAGGTGGCCAGAGAGGGGTCCCCTAGATCCTGTCTGCTCTGGCACCTAGGTCTGTGCTATCACTGAGCGTTAGGAACCTCTCTGGGCTGCAGGAGCACACACAGGCTGGGGAGGCCAGGCAAGCTGGGGCTGCTGTGCCAGTTGCTGCACCAAGGTACCCTGCTCCTGGTGCCAGGGAGCCAATGAGTTAGAGAGAGTATGCTACAAACAAGTGAGACAACGGGTCTGGTAAAATCAAAGTTAGGGTGGGAGGAATGAGGATGAAGTATGCTTTTGCTTGGGCTGTAGCAACAGCCACAGCTGATATACCCACTAGGTGCTGGAAGCAAGGAAGAGGTTCTTGGATAAAACACTCCATGCTCTCATTCTGCTTTCTTCAGACCCTTAAAGCCATGACAGACAAGGGAGCTGAGCAGCTCCTGGTTATGGTCCTGCCACTGCTGTGCTCTGCAGCCCTGGGCATGTCCCTGCCACTCACTGCTCAGTTTTCACCCCATGTCTGTCTCAGTCTGTCTCTCTCAACTTACGTCTGCAGGGCCATCCCAGGACTTGAGCTGCAGTGATCTGCAAAGCACTTTCAGACCTGCACATGATAGGCCATTTCTTGGGCTCAAAATACTGTAAGTA